GTATCTGTATATTATATGCAAACTCGTTATGGGATTGTATAAAAAGTAATAAAATTAACTGTGTGCGGGCTTTTGAATCGTTCCAATTGTTATATTAATTAGATCGTTATATAAATACAATGCTGTAACGGATTCACATAATCTAGAATAAAGTATAATATAACTTTATAATTTGCAGTAAGTTGCTGTTACGCTTTTTTCTTATATAGCAACAACCGAGGTAACGGTCAAAGAAAGAAGAAAATCCCTATAAAAAATATTTTTGAAAAAGGCTAATACAATAAAAACTAGACCAAAAACACGTCTTATGCGGGAAGTCTTATAAAGCTTTATCGTCCTCCACTGTGTTTGGCAACACTTGGCGCTGTTGTCGCATATACCAAAATATTGCTCCTAAGGAGAACCTCAGGTTTACACTTCTGGGATTTTGATGAAACTTTGCATAGAGTTGACAGTCAAACCGAACTGTTTAAAATATTATAGGCCTACGAGAAGTGATTTAATTATAAAAATTAATTAAAGTCTACGGTGTTCCAGAAGCTTGCTCATGCTTTTGCCAGAACTGCTCGAGGCAAAATAATTGGCTTTACAGTTATTAATATATAATTTTGGACTACTGATACTTTATTTCATGCGTTATAAAATAAAATCTATTACCATTTATTCTACAAGGGGAACGCAGACCCCTTTTACATGAAATCATCGAACCAGAAAGTCCTCATGCAGACAGAATATTTATTAATGTAGGTGTAGGTACTTTGAAAAGAGCCACAAGGTGTAAATCGTAAAACTTGCTATAACATTGTTAGATGGATATTATTCATGTGTTTTATTACTTAGGTCAAGCTATAATATGGAGAAAGAAAATTTCTGAGGTTTGTGGAAACCTAGAACTACACCTTGGTTAAAATAATTTCTCTATAAGGAAATAGAGATAGTTATTACCAGGGTATAGAAAACAAAGAAATTTAGTCATAAAGCAATTTTTAAAACTACTGGTTTCAAAACTTGGTATTAATTTCCTTTTTATTAATATTGTAATTTGTCCCTTTGTACATTGACCAATGCAAAATATTATAAAAAATGCTAGAAATGTAGAGGAATTATTAGAACTTTACCGAACAAAAATAAGTTTTTCATGTTATTATAGTGAGAAAAACAAGAAAGAAGGGTGTAAATCATAATAAAAATGTATTAGATTTGCAAAAATGCTTGATTTGGGAAGAAATCAGTAAAATTTGCTTCAGACAGATGAGCAGAAGCATAAATTTGTTAACAGTTTCAATTTAAATCACTGATTATGTCAGAAGATTATTATAAAATGTTTAGTAATTTTCATTATAACAGATAGTTTTAATGTAGTTATTTTTCTCCTTCCTCTTTTTTTTGAAATAATTGAAAGTGGGATTACATTAGTTTTAGTAAGAAATTGAAAAAATGTTTACTTAAATTTTACTACATCTTTAAGTGAAACAATGTAGATCAATTGTATGTTTGCTAATATTTTTATATAAAATAAATATTCTACCAGAGAGCGTGGCCACAAGAATTAATTTTGAATGCAGTAACCGGTGATCATGATTCCTATCTAATTTTTCTTATATTTTTATCGATTTTATATCTGAAATGCCTTATATAGAATACCTTACAATAAGATATTTGTATTTTAAAAATTGGAAAACTTATGATAATGGGAAAATGAATTGAATAGATAATTTATAAATTTAAAAAATAAGAATATGAGTTGAATAGGTACTTTGTGCATGTTAACAAATTTTTTATACCATTGTGTACACAACATTCAACAAGTATAAAGTATAAGTCCTTTATCAAACACAAATAGAACTATGTTATTAAACTGATTTACAACACAAACGCAAATTTAACAAACAATCCTTCGGTCGGTGAATGCAAAGTAACACAAACCACACTTATCACAATCACAAATGTCTTTACCAACTATTTCAATTACAAAATAACATTAATCAAATATCGACATTCGATTTAATAGAACCACGTATGTGTTTCATGTGTGCTTTCAAGCGCCACAGAGAGACGACTGCTAAAGACATCGTTCAACTTTTTAACTTCTTTATGTGCAGCACATATAATATATGTATACCGGTACGTGCATTCGTTATACAGGTTGTATGTGCACCGATAATATATATATATAATATATATATATAATATATATATATATATATTGTGTGGCTGAAGAACTGTCAGTGTTCGAAATGGACTATGGTGAGTTCGAAGAGCCCATGGGCAATTCATCTATAGCAACGACTTTGTAAAGGATATAGATAGATTCTTGAACTACATGCAATATTGAATTATCCATAGAACAATTTTGTTATCAATTTCCTTTGGAATACATTAATGATAAATATGCTATATAAATGAATAATTTTATAAAAATAGTATATCAATTAATTAATGGTTCTAATTATCTTTACGTACGAAGTTTCTTTGATCACTTAATATTTGTAGCGGTTTTTACCTGATTTTTTTCTAATTTTATTTAATTACATCAATATAAAGAATCCTCTATACATTAACTGTTCTTATTCTAAAAATAATCAAATTTAATATGTTAATATTTAATGTGTAAAGAGCTTTCATTCTGTTTTTGTAAAATACGTTTTTAGTTACGAAAGAAAAATGCTAGAATATTTGTACGAAATTACAATATATAATTAAGTACAAATAAATGCAAGGATTTTATATTTTGTATTGCAAGAATAACTTTTTTTAATTTTTAATTTTCCGGAAAATTATGAATGTTTTCGCTATTGCATTCGTTGCACATAAACATTTATCAAAATTCATTACAATGTTGGGATATGCAGAATAATTTCACCTGACAAATTGCAACAGTAATAAATAAACATTTTAATTACTAAACAGTCTCTCAACTATTATTTATTAACGTTAGTTCAGAAGTTGAGATTCAAGTACAAGTCAATCAAATTTTACTACAGCTTTCAAATTACATATTACAATAATTTATTACATATATAATGAAAACGATAATAATTTAATGTCTTTTAAGTTGGCTTTAAGCTTTATAAAAATAGATTTAGAAAATTGAATACATAATAATTTCACGAGGAGAAAATTAATTTAGTATAAACAACCACAGAAATCAGTAAAGTTTATTTTTTGTCATCTACTATAAATACTACTATAAATAATCTATACGAGTAAAATTTAGTAAGTAGTTGATGTATATGTGTATATATTTGCTAATTCTTAATTTGATAAAATATTTTATTTTGCCAATGTTGTTCCGACAATTATTGATTTACTAATAATATTTCGATTTCTTTGTAAAATTAGCCATTGATAAATTTCATTAATATAACAAAATAAATAAATGGCCTTTAAAAAATCTTTACTAGATCAAAAACTAGATTGAAATAAATCCCAATGTAGAGAAAGTATCAGTTCAGTGATTATTTCATTCTCCTCCTAACACTATGCCTAAGGCCATTTTACAACAAGAAAATTAATTATTGTTCACGATTTAGCAAAACCAATGAAATAATATAAATAGACGTAGAATGTTATTTTGCACCTGAGAAATCCATCAAAAACTTTCAATTAACCAAAACCCTGCGGTTAAAACCATTTGTTTTAATAGGTTTAACTAATCATTTGAAACTACTGAGCATTTACGCAATGATTTATGGTTAACAGTACAATTGAATAAATCTTGTTTGATTTTACTAATAATTTATTTTGGTGTCTGCCATTACTTTCTACAATATAAAATTATGTGTACTTTAGATTTTGTTTAGTGTCATTACTTTTAATTAAAGTGACCACAAACCGCAAATTATTTATACCCAAATCAATAAATAAATGTGTAAATGGATATAGTTTTTGTTAAAATTAAATTTTAGAGCTTATAATTTTATTCCTTTCAAGCACTTTATTTCTCTATGCGTTCCTAAACGTCCCAATATTAGTAGTAGTTGTTAGTACATATGTGTTAATCGATGTGATATATGTACACACATTTAAGACATAATTTTTCCTATTTCTCATTTCTTATTTTATATATGGTCAAGTCGACATAAAGTAGGCTTTTGATTACGCTCTCCAAGGTGCTAATCCTCTACATAGCATCTTATATGGAACGTAAAGGACAGTTGACTTTAATTTCAAACTACTAATTAAATAATTAGTAGATAACCAGTAAAGAAGATATTAATATTGAGTGAAAATAGTATCAAGAACACAAAGGACACAAATATATTGCACGCAGTTTTGTGTCGTCAGAATCGAGGTAAAGTGCCACTTACAAGTATTTATTTTATACCAGCACAGCTTCAGAAAATTATAAATATATTGAATGTTTTATATAATTCTTTACAAAAATTGCAATCTAAAAAGCCAATTGTTAAAGATTAGCACGCAGAACAAGAACACTCGTCAATTGATTGGTTCAAAATTGGTGGCACCACAGTATTTTTAGATATATCATTAAATTAGAAATTAGTGACTATTTAATTGCATAAGCAAGACAAGGACAAATATAATCATATAACACAAACTAAGTCCCGACTTGCAAAAAAAAAACTAATAAAGGAGCATAGCTCTGGATAACGGATCAGAGACATGGATTCTAAGAAAGGATGACAAAATCTGGAGAATTTTGATATGTGAAACTGGAGGAGGCGAAGGAAGAAGATAAAGTGGACAAACAAGGTAACCTATGTAAAAGTGATGAGAGCACTGGGCGAGGAAAGATCTCACCTGGGCACAATTTTGAAAAGAAAAAGAAACTGGATTGGAGCCTCCTACATGACGTCATCGACGGTGAAATAGGAGGCCTAAAAGGGCTGGTATTAAATTTTTAATGGGTATGATAAACAAGAAAGGGTACCATTAGAATCATTAATTTTTCGTGCTCTCGCACCATGGACCTGCCTTCGAGCAGACTACTATTTCTAATTATTATTACTAAAAAAAACTATCTAACTATCACTTACGATTATTGGCCTGCACCGCAGCCGCCGGAGGTTTCCTCGGACTGGACGTATTTTGCCGCTGGTGCAGAGAATGCGTCACACCGGAGGTCGGCGTCGACCTCGCCGGGGTCGCCGATAGCGGCGATGAATTCACGGTGTTACCTGCTGCGTTGCTGCTCACATCGCTCTGACTATCGTCCTGCAGAAGATTCGATTCCGAAGCTCGCACACGTGTTCTCCTGCTGGGAAGAAATTAATTATTGTAGAAATATAGAGAGGTCGGGATGTAATAAAATACGCCGAGGATGGTAGAGATAATTCATTGTTTGAAAGGATTGCATTGTTGCGGAGATGTGGAATCTTTTCCGTGGTCATGAAATGTGGGATATGTTGGCTAGATAAATCTTTTGCGGATGAACACAAGATCTGATAAAATACTTCGATGGTTATAATAATATAGAAAAATTGAGTAAACAAATTTTGTGTGTGTATGTATATTTGGACACAATTTTTCGTTTACGATTTTCGGGAGCACGGATCAACCAAGTTGAATGACCCAATAAAATTGATAATTGTGATACGTCCTGAAAAGCAGGTTCTCCTGTTTCCAAGATATGGAGCAAAAATAGCTCTTTTTGAGAGATCGGAGCGTCCGATTTGAATGGTTCAAAAAATATTTCACTTGTATTAATGGAATAAAAAATTGATTAAACTTTTGGGATGGCAGGCCCAGCGGTTTCGGAGACAAAAGTATGAAAACTGCCAAATGGCTTAGACATATAAACATCAAATTTTCAGATATTTTATAGAGATTTCGATATCAAAAACAACCTAAGTTATGGTTTCACTACTTTGGGATCCGTGCAGAATTTTTTTCAAAATTTAGAAAATTTCCCAGCAAAGAAAAAAAAACTGAACGTGAGTAGTGTAACACCAATAAACTGTAAGAGATGTATACGTAACGTATACATAAAAATTAATATAGTCATTACTATTCAAAGAAAATATTTACGCCTGGACGAACGCTTTCTTGAATCTTTTAAACAGCTTTATTGAGCAAGACAGTTATTTTAAAGTGTCTGTGAAAATTAGCTTGCTGTATATATCTGATTTATGATTATATTTAAAAATATACACACATTAGAATATAAATAAATATATGTAAAATCTATTTCTACTTAGATGTTAATTAAACTAATGAATTGCTTCGTAGTCAAACGTCTTTCTTACCCATGTGTGGTCATTTTAACTTTACTCTTATCACAATTTTCTTTATTTTTCACAACAACACCTATATCTTTATTACGCATTATTACTCAAAAATATTATACAATATTATATTTATAAGATTTACGGATGCCACTAACTCTCACTGAATTATAGTTCAAACTGCAAACTAACCGGCGAGTTTAAATTATCATGAACAAATATTTGCTCAATAGATAAACGCTTTAAGTAAATAAACACAGAAAAATACCAAATCTCGATAAATAGAAAGCTCACTTATGAAATATTTCAATAATACGTATTTTGGATAATACATTATATTTTGTATTATTTTTGTGATAAATATGCTGCGGTTTAGATTGGTTGTCGATACTTGTATGATGATCGATTGAAATTGGGATTGCGTTTATTTAAATGACACAGTGGCGTGCTGATTCAAAAAATTTTTTGTAAATATACTATTAGAATATATGAATGGTAACTACTACACTGAGAAATAAAGTAACTACACTGTTTCAGCACAGGCAAATAAAAATATCAATCCACCACGCATACGTAACTATAGTTTGCACATATCATTTTCGCACCAGATCTTTGTATTTAAATTGGAAGTACCACGACTATTTTTTTTTAAATTAAATTCTGGGGTATGATATATGATGTTACGATGCATTACCCACTAAATTTTGTATCTAAAAAAACAATTTCGGTGCACTGGTAAGGCCTTGTTCAATAACCGTGACTCTAAATTGGGAGTGTCATCCGTGCCAAAACAATCAAAGTGCATACGCGAGAACAGATCATTGTGTTCATAGATCGACGGATCCCTATGCAAAATTAAAATGCGTTATTGAAAAAAAAAAACTATTGAATTATTTCGATATACCAATAGTCAATTTTGAACAAGAGCATACAAAACACGCCTGAGTTGTAGCATCAAGACCGACACGTATGATCTGAGCTATATTGTCGGATTTAAAAAATATTTTTATTATTCTTACCTTTTAGCTTTAAGTTGTTGCGAATTCAAACTTCTCTCATTCAAAGATTGCACACTGCTACAAGCAACTTTATTCAAAGCTCTCACTCTTGAGGTTGGACTAGAACCATTATTGTTATTGGTGAGACCAGTAGAAATCTTTGATTTGACTTCCCGCAAATGAATAGTAGGCCTTGCATTTTTATTTTCAGCAATTTTATTCATTACAGAATCCCATTTGTTACAACGTTTGATCTGAGGGCGCTTATTCTCTTTACCAGAAGCACCGCCAGACGATGTATTCGTTTTTGACGATGGCTTTGATTTCTTTGTGGATGAACTTGGTGCTATAAAATAAAAAAAAACGTCAAAATAAATCATAATTTATCTAGTAAATTTGATTTAATAAAATCAATATGTTTTATCCTTACATTTAACCGCAATTGGTTCGCTAGATTCATCAACCGACATAGCCATTGTTTCATCCAAAGGTACTTTATAGGCGCTCGCATTTGGACTTATAGCTGACGAATCGCTAGAAGAAGCACTTTTAACCATTATACCTGAGGTGGTGTCACTGTGCGACTATTATTCTCGAGATCTGTGTATACACCACTGGATTCCATGCAGGAGGAAGAAGAATCTTCCACCAGACATAATGGCCCAGCAGTAGGAATACCTAGAGACAAAAATAATTTTGCAATAATTGGCCATCCAAATCAATATCAATTTTCTATTTTATTAACAACTCATATGATATTAGGAATTATAAATTATTTTACACTTAATAAACTCACCTGCATTATTATTGGCAGCAGTATGCCCATATACCAGTCTTCCATCTATGACTCTAGCAAGTCTGTGTGCAGTATCCTCGGATGAGCGAGAAGCGAGAGCAGATCACTTTCAGTGAAAAAATCAGAATCGGTCATTGGGTCTGGACGTGCATGATGCCTGCCGACAAAACAACGGTTGAATCACCGGTTTGAACATTATTTTTGCCACTAACGTTTTTGTTGACGTTATGTCCGTTGCTGTGTAAATGATGACTTTCTGCACCACGGCTGACTGGTCTAGACATTTCTCCATCGCCCTTTGAGTGAAATTATTAAAATATCTCATAGAATTGAAATCTTACACAATAACAAAAATAATAATAGAATAACAAAAAAATGGAATGTACCTGGTATCCATTATCCAAACTGGTAATACTTGTGACACTTGCAACAAAACTATTCGAAGTCTTAGATACACCAGAAGTCGATTGCGATTTACTCTCCGAGTCAGCAAGTGACATTTGTTCTTGAGAATTTTCTTGCGTCCTATATGTCTTTCTGGTTCCTCAGACTCCACTTCTAATTTTATATCTACTGGGTCCAATGGCAATTCTTCAGGCGGTGACGGTGTCATATCATTTCTATTCATCATTTGCTGCTCTTTGACTCTGATGAGCTTTTTGCAGCAATAAATTGAGAGCTTGTCTTCGCATCAGTTGATCTTCGCCATCTTGACTATTGACCATGTCAACCGTAGATGTAGATCCGCCTGATATAGACATCATACCGCCGTCATCGAAGAGATGGGGCCGACACTTGCATATATTTGGATCATCCCGTTCAGACACATTTGGTGATAATAGTCCGACGCAGTTTTGTGAAGTAGCCTTTAAGGTGCTGTTTTGATGACTATCCATACCTATGAGTGTTTGGTCCTGCACCTATATAAATTATAAAAAAATTATAAAAATAAAACTTATACATTTTTTCAATAAAGCACATATTTTTTAACTTACACTTTGTTGCAAATATTGTTGTATACTTAATTCTGTCGTTGGCGTGATTGGCAGTTGACTGTTGTTCATCCATAAGGGTTGCGATATATTGGCAAGCAGTTCTTCCTGATTACTATTTCTTGAATCATTAATGATTCGCA